AGCCATCCAAACCTTCACGATGTCAAGCTGGCAGGCAGAGTGGCATCTCCAAGGATCTGGGAAGCTGCGGAGCGTGAAACCTACCTTGGAGCCCTGGCAGTCTTGCTTCCAAAGCAACAGGCACCAGGAAGTGGCCCTCTGCAGATTACGTATTGGTCATACGTGCGCGACTCATGGCTATCTCCTCCGTGGAGAGGAACAACCCACATGCAGTCGGTGTGCCGTGCCTCTCACTGTCTCTCACGTGCTTTTATCTTGTCCTCTCGCTGAACCGAACCGGACACGCTATCTCGGGCGCATCGCTCCGGATACCACTATCCGCCACCTTCTGGGTGACGACTCACCCTGGGTTTTATCCGGCAACATTTTTTCCTTTATCCGTTCGATCAACTTCCAAGCGATTTACTCGACCTGACATTAAAACCAACTAGTCCTCTCTAGTCCTTACATCTAGTCAGTTGTCTAGGACGACACTCTTGCGCTGCTTTATCTTACCTTGCTCTTTTATATCGAGTCTTTTACTTTTTAGTACTCGTATCTAGAAGGTTCTCTCTTTTGACACACTTGTTTTATTAAAACGACGCTATGGGCGCAAAATGACCTAAGTAGTCGGCGCGCCCTAAAGCCCCAATTAACAAACAACAAACAAACTCCCAGCGCCTCTAGTGGACGCGGTACGGGCGCCCAGCGCCTCTAGTGGGCGGAGTACGGCTCCCAACGTCCCTAGTGGGCGGAGTACGTGCATCCAGCGCCTCTAGTGGACGGAGTACGGCTCCCAACGTCTCTAGTGGGCGGAGTACGTGCATCCAGCGCCTCTAGTGGACGGATTCGCGGACAAACGTACGGATCGGAAAATTACGTTGGACAAAAGTACCCAGTACGCACACAAATGTGGGTGCGCAAAAATACGCAATGACAAAAAATATGCATCGTGAAAAAAACTCACGCGACCTAACCTAACCTAACCTAATATATGTAGTCCTTAGAATCCACGTGCTTCCGGGAATGGACGTTTGAATCTGTCTCGTTTAGAGCTAAGTGTGCCCGCCATGGCTTCTTTTATTCGCTCTGGAAAGCGATGATTTTTTTTTTAGTATGCCTAGTATGCTTAGGGTGAATAGGTCAAAAACGCCCCCATTAAGCGCGAAACCTTCTGACACTCAACCCAACCCAGATTACTCAAACCTTTGGGCACCATCATGTAGCTCATTCTTTTTACTACGCTTTGAGACCAAGAAATGACACTTGCGTGTGGTATTTAACCCCCCAAAAAGGTTTCCCATACCCTTACAAAGGGCGTTTTGCCCCACACCCTGGGTAATACGCCCACACCCATGTGCAAAGCGCCCCCACCCCATCCATCAACAGAAAATGATGAACATGGCAGAACTTGACGTCATTCTGACGTCATTTGTGGTCAACCTATCATAGCCTTTGGAATAAAATGTTGTTGCAATGTGTAAAATGGATGCCCGGAGGAGTCCTGAAAGTTTGGTGACGATATCTGCAGTCGTTTAGGATATATCAGCAAAAAAGGACAGGGAGTGGCCTTTTCGGCCCCGACCTACAGGGCGCCACCTTGCACTCTCACCACCGTGCAAAACGCCCCCCTTTCAGAAAACTGGGGGCGTCTTGCCCCATGCATCGAGTAGGCGTCTTTCCCCATCCACTCCATTTCCGGTCAACAAAATATTGACAAAAAAAACGCGCCACTAACGCCGCAGCATAATGAATTCAACAGAATGACAATAAAACGTAGTTTTGAGTGATGTGCACAATAGCAAGTTTTGTGATATAAAGAGGGCATCAAAAGCTTAGGAATCTTCTGTAAAAACAACAAAAACAACACCCAAAACCAACATCAGCACCTACCCACGCTGCTCCTCAAGACGCAGAACCGGAAATAGAGAACTACGTAAACAAGCAGCTGACTGTTCTGAAAGACAGGATAAAACACCTATCCGTCGATAAGATCTACGATTTTTTTATGGGAGGCGTTTAACCCAGGGGTGCGTTTTCCCCACAGTTACCCTACATATTTTTACCTCGCGCTGTAGGTACATGACGTGGAAACCACAAAAATCCACTGTGTTCCGAATTAACGTCTGTCCGTCTGTCTGTCTGTGTTACACGGTGCTGTAGTATGCTGACAGCGGACCAGTGCCCCAATAATTTTCGATTTTGATGGGAAACTTCATCTGGGTGTAATCAATTTTTCACGCATATCTCCAACTTCCAAAGGGAATTTTCCATTCTCATTTTTACCCGGAAAAAAATCATTGGCGCCGAAGGTCGTTGTTATCCAACATGCTACCAGTCTTGAATAGAATGTCATACTATTGGTCCTTATTTCACACTTTTGGCGTCATCGGACCGGCAATTTTCAACTCCCATCCCTTCTCTAGTGAGAATTCCCCCCTCCCCCCTCCCCCCTGACACCCAAGCCATAATGCCTACAATTATGGGACACTGCAGCTGACCTGTGCTGTAGTGTAGGCACTTATTTGTGCTGCGGTGAACTGCAGTATGTATTGTTTGGCTGTGCTGCGGTCTGCTGCAATCTCCATGATATGTGGCATGAGGCACCATGTCTGAGCCTCAGTGCGGATCACTATACATTGTCCCGATATGTGATGCAGCATGACGTGGTAGGCTGAATCATCCAGTACAAAAATATAAGGCGGTCCGTCCGCTTTGCACGGGCTGCGGTACTTACCTCTAACCTCTGCTTTTCCAGTAAAGCGGACAAACCGGTCAGGGGCGCCGAACCAGTCGGATTTACCAGCCCGTCTACGGCATCGCGGCAGACCAGAAAAACCTGCTTATATAAGCTGTTGCTGCAGTGTTTCTAATAATAGGCCGCTAGCTGACAATATCACGGAGAATAAATGCATCATATGATGCCATTTTACGAACAGCAAAATGTCTGGCTGCATTTAGCCTAAGGTCGCCAAGTGCCAACGTGTTTCGCCGGCTAATCAAAGCATAGGCGTTTCGCGGGTACGCCAAATTACCCCACGGTGCGGCAATTTGAACACCCCGTGACTTGTTGGAGATGTAAGACATACTATTAGGGGAAGCCGGGGGAAGCCCAGCATAGTAAGCTCTTTTTTATTTTTATTACATACCTTGCGTGCTGTATAAAATGTTGATATCTTGTTAGCTAGGTAAGTTAACGCTCGCCCTGGCAGGGCATTTTTCATAACACGGCCTGGCAGGGGGGGGGGGTCGATGCGACCCCCCCCCCCCCCTCGCGATTGGCTCCTATGGCACCTAGAAACACCAAATTTGGTAGGTAGGTGGGCCCCCTGGAGTTCTCGCCCCTGTGCAAATTTGGTTGCTCTAGGTCAATATTTAGGGGGGGGTTGGGGGGTATAAATGTAAAAATTTCGCTAAAAACAGGTCAAAAGTTTTTCGCTTATAACTTTTGATCTAATTAAAATAGAGCAAAAAGAAAGGGCACCAGTGAACTCAGCACGTCAAGGCGCGTCGAATGATATACTTTTTAGCTTGCTTAAGTGTACTTAAAGTTTTCTTAATTTTTAGGTAAGTAAACTTTAATTAATCAATTAAGTTCGCCTGTCAATTTTCTCCCATAAACTTATGCCTAATGGGGAGGTCGCAAAATTGACCTGGCCTTAGGTCACCGATATCAAAATTCCAAGACATACATCTTCTACATGCTCTTACGACTTACTCTTATCGATCGCTGAAAGCTTTGAGGTGATCGTTCAGTCGGTGTAGCTTTGACAAGCATTCTAACTTTATTCTGAGGTGAGGTCACGGTTGGGGTAGGTACTGCTGCACGTGTGCACGTGTAGGGGTCGTTTCCAGATCTCAAGAACGGCTGAAACGATTGCGCTCAAACTTGGTACATGGCTAGAAACAGTAGGGTGCCGTGCAAAAGTCAGTTGGGACCCAGTTTGCACGTGCGCACTTGCAGGTTGCCGCTTTCATATCTCGAGAACGGCTGGGCCGATAGCGCTCAAATTTGGCACATCGCTAGAGAGCGGTTAGCAAGGTGCCGTGCACAAGTCATTTCGAAGTACTACCCCCTCGCAATGACGCACGTGCAAGGCTCACCCTCTCCCTCGCTCCGTTTGTCGCCCCAAATGGCGTTTCACTGATTTACTCTGTGCTCGAAAATAACGATCAATGATCATAAGGCATACCAATAAATTCAAATACAATAATGGACGGATGACAAATGAAATTATTTAGGGATAGCCAAGTTTAGAGAAAAAGCTTGCATAGATATGGTACACTAAAAGAGTGACGATGAATGATCATTACGGAGCGAGCGAAGCGAGCGGAGTCTTTCCTTAGATTAACGGAAATTTCTGAGTATGAGCGGCCGGCCGGCCGGCCGGCCGGCCGGCCGGCCGGCCGTGCGGACGCTTTTGCGAGGCTTATATCTCAGCAACCACTTGACCGATTTACATGCGGTAATTTTTGTAGGGTAGCTTCATTCCTTCTACCAAGTATTGGACTATTCCCGATGCATGTGGGTGACCCCTTATGCACGTGCCACGTGCAAAACGAAGAGGTGTCAGTTTTGCAATTGTTGCAATATCTCGGTAACTACTTGGCCGATTGCGCTCAAAGTTGGCATGTAGGTAGGCACCCACTAGGCACTGCATATCCATGTGCCAGAGTTGGGGTGCTGCTGCACGTGCGCACGTGCAGGGGTCGTTTCCAGATCTCGAGAACGGCTCGACCGATTGCGCTCAAATTTGGTACACAGTTTGGGACCGGTTAGTAGGGTGCCGTGCACAAGTCAGTTGGGACCCATTTTGCACGTGCGCACGTGCAGGGTGCCGCTTCCAGATCTCGAGAACGGCTGGGCCGATTGTGCCCAAATTTGGCACATCGCTAGAGACCGGTTAGTAGGGTGCCGTGCACAAGTCAGTTGGAGGTACCCCCTCGCAATTTCGCACGTGCAAGGCCCACCCTCTCGCTCGCTCCGTTAGTCGCCCCATAAGGCGTTATACTGGTTGATAGTGGCGGACAATAGGAGTAGGCATAAAAATAAACTCTGAAAACAGAGCAAACGAATGTCTATGACTTATGTGAGACAGAATAAAAGCTGAATGATTATTGACTGACCTAAACACAGCAATGCAGGTTATGCAGCAACTGGTTTTACATGATCATAATAAAACAACGTATATTTTATCGGCGTCGCGTAAGTAACTGGTTACTAATTCACTTTTATGTACGCTTTTCGTATCACAGCTTTTTCTGCAATGACTCTTTATGCACTGTTTTCATGTCATCGATTTTTTCATGAACATATTTTTCTCATCAAGACTCGTCGAATGATATGCAATCCGACTTTGAAAAGGTCAACATGCGCAGCTGCTCTCGGCTCGTGACCTTAGGTCTAGGAACTCAAACCTCATTTGAATCACTTGTAATTGTACAGACAAAATGATGACTCTGCCATCCATCATAGTGCATCGTCTCGCTGCATGGCCGCGTTACTGATGCCGCTCAGCTGGCGGCCGGCGGGCGCGCTGGCGGCCTTCCGCCGTCGGTAAGCCTCCTCCACGTCTGCCACCGTCTCGGGCATGGGCTGTCCGGCCGTCTCGGGCAGCAGCAGGGTGGCCAGGCTGGCCAGCAGCACCACGGCGCCGAACACGGCCGAGGGCGCCAGCTCGTGCAGGCCGCTCACCAGGTCCACCACGAACGGCGACACGGCGCCGCCGATCCTTGTGGCCGTCTGCAGGACGCCAAGTGCCAGGCCTCGCTGTTGGGTCGGCATGAACTCAGATACGTAGATACCGATAATGTTGAACGCTATTGCCACCCCGAGCTTAGCAACAAGTCCCAAAAGCATCCAGAATGTGCTGTCTTTCTTGATGAATGCGAGGAACATGCAGACAGATGGTACCAACAAAGACACGCACAGCGTCAGACGACGACCATATCGGTTCATTAACAGGAACACAAGCGCAGAAGGGATTTCCACCAAACCCGAGAGAGCTGCAGCCAGGTGGGGGCTGGAACTCAGCTGCGTCATGTCGAATGAGATGCCGAAGTAGGATCCTGAGATGGCGAAACTGACGTAGGCGCTTGCCAACGTGTTGATGCACATATGCCGGGTTCGCACTAAGTCGAGGACTCTTTGGAAGGCGGAGGACTTGTTTGTGCCTTTCAGGGCCGCTTCTCGGGCCAGCAGACCCCTGCGCGCCTCCTCCATGAGTTTCAGTACCTCTTCGTCTGATGGTATCTTTCGGCGATTCCAGTACGCCGCTTGACGCAGGATGACCAGCGCCTCATCAAGGCGGCCCTTAAGCACCAGCCAGCGCGGCGACTCGGGCATCAGCCAGAAGTTGGGCAGGAACAGCAGACTGGGCACGGCGAACGCCAGCTGCAGCAGCCAGCGCGTGCGGATGCCGTACGACGCGGCCGCCACCAGTATGATCCCAATTGAGAACGGCAGGAAGGTAACGGTCGTCAGAGCCGCCCGGTGTTTGCAGCCGCTCAGCTCCGTCACCAGCACATACTGGCTGGCAATCATGGAAGCCATGGCGAAGCCCGTGAGTCCTCGAATCACGACGAAGCTGACGTAGTCGCCCACCAGCGCCGCGGAGAAGGAGCAGGCGATGACGAGTAGCATCACAGGCAGGAAGACGGGTCGTCGTCCGAACCGGTCCGTCAGCTGTCCGCCGAGCAGCGAGCCGGCGATACCTCCCAGCATCAGCACAGACTGCAGCATGGACAACATCGGCTTGCGGCCGCACACCAGGTTCCACTCGGTCACCACAGTCGACTCGTACACGGACCTGTCAAACACCCAGCGAGTGCACGAGGAGCTGTTGTCGCCCAAAGGATGACACTTCGGCAAATCGTCCGGCAGCGATGCGAACGTGGCGTTGATGTCGAAGCCGTCAGCGCATTTGAAAGGTGGTGATGCTCCGACAAACATCATCGACATGGAGAAGGTCGGGAAGATGAGCCACATCACGGACATGTAGGCGATCAGCATCACTTGCCATCGTCCGGTACCACAGCATCGCTCCAGAACGTCCTCAAACAAAATCGAGTCTTGTGGCGCCGAAGTTGCAGCTGGGTCTTGTGAAGACGAGGCTACGATCGAGTGCTGTGGCGCTGGGTCCGCATCTGTGGTACCCCAGGGAACCATCTCCTCCCCCCGATCGCTGTCTTAGCTCCCCTGGCTCACAATCCCTCTAGCGTCGCACGCGCCACGGTCGCGTCGGACCGGCCTCGGCGGCACCCTGCGCACCACTGGCGTTGTGGCTCAGACGTGGTTTTCCACCAGTCCCCCGACCAGTCTGTGCCGCAAGGGCAGCGAATAGCTGCGCGAGCCACACGCCACCAGCGAATAGGTGCACGATCGGCACGCCACCACTCCTGCACGGCGGTACCGGTAACTACAAATGAAAGGCTGTCAGGTGTTGCGAAATCGATCGTGCTCAGGTGAAATTCAACGGCACGCGCCTTCCGGCTGAATGGGTGAATGATAGCAAAAATGGAATGGTTGAATAGGAGGATGGCAGTACAGAGTGTAGCCCAAGGCCAAATAATCGCATGACGTGAGCGAAAATTAACATTTTTAATGGACCTTACATCGTTAGTAAGGCTGATATTTGGTCGTTTTTTATTTCCTTCTCTATTGGGAGCCTTTAGTAGTGTCGAATCGATTGGATTCGATAATTGAGTGCATAGGCGGCGGAACAGGGAGGGCACCGGGGCGGGGCACCGTGCCTCCTTTGATTTTGGCATTTTAACATTAGCCCTAATGGGCGTTGCATGGAAAGAATGGGACCAAAAGTTGGCAGTGCCCCCCCCCTTAATTGAAGGTGTTTCACCGCTACTCAATGGTGCTTTTCAAATGACCAAATAGGATTAAATAAAAGTAGTTGTTGATAAATAAAACAGGTTGATGCACTTGCCACGGAACAAATGAAGAAATCATACGTTAGTGAAAAACCGTTATCATTCAATATGATCACATGGCTCCATCTTCGCGCCTCCATGTCTGGACAATGGCCCAGTCCAGACGCGAGACCTGCACCGGTCAACACCAGCACATGGATGAGATGCATGTTGATCAAGACAGCCCATATTCAGCCCAGATTCAGCCCGGATTCAGCCCAGATTCGGGACACCTCCGATCAAGCTGAAACTCGCACACAATGTAGGCCATGACATGCCCAATCCACAGTCCAAGTCATTTGGTGGCACTCCCAGCCGTTTGACCTACAGAGGTCAGCAAAGGTCACGTGGCCCAAATTTGCACAGCAGATTGTGGCCCACCCAGTAGAGCTAGAGCGCTAAAAATGGCACCAATCGACTCGCCAGCATCTAATCTTACTTTCCCAACACTCATTTGACCTCTCAAGGTCATGCGATGACCTAAGGTCATTTGTGGGCTATGTCGAAAATACACTTGCACAGCAGTTTTCGAGTAGATGGATTGACCGAATTCCAAATCAAAGCAGATCATCGGGTAGCCCATAGGCCGTAGTAACTTTCCTTGAAAACTGCTTTTCGATATGTGACCCCGTTTGACCTCGGCAGGTCAAAATGTGCAAATAAACGACACTCAATACGTCGCAGCCCGGATTCAGCCCAGATTCGGGACACCTCCGATCAAGCTGAAACTCGCACGCAATGTAGGCCATGACATGCCCAATCCACAGTTTAACCCTATTAGTGGCAGGGGGGGGGGTTGTTTTCATCCACCCCTCAGGTTTTTCGGGAATATCTCCGAAACCGCTGAAGCTACGATGCTGAAATTTTCTGACTTTTCCTAAAACTAAATTGGGCATATTCCCTGAAAATTTCAAGTTCATAACTTTACCAGGGGCGGCTCCAGAGCACTGGGAATTGGGGGGTCGTATTCGTGAAGCGAGTCATTTGGGCGAAGATCACGATGCTGCACCAGTTTTACGAACTGAAAGGTATCATGTGATAACATATACAGTTATTGTGCATCCTCTTTTGACACGTTTTTGCTATAATAGGCGGATCCAGGCGTCCAAAAAGGGGGGTTATGTTTTACCTCCCAACATAGGTGCCCTGACACCGCCTATGCATGACCAATACAATTGTAGTCGTTCTCTCATAAGAAAATTGTAACATAACAAGACCATTACCACCCTTTTTAGAAACAGTAGGGGAAGGTGGGGTAAGACGGCCCAGCGGGGCAAGACGGACCACCAGCCCTCCCGGCTGAACCGCTGCTGGTATCTACTGCTTTATGCACTCACTATGTTTGTTTTCCTTCGTAACAATGGCCACCTTGAGCTCATGCTGCTAGGATGCATAGCTTTTGAGTTATTGAGAAAAATGTTGTTTTTCGTCAAACCGATCTAATATAAGAGGTCTACAGGTGATTCAATTACGGCGCCTTTCTTGCATGATTAGTTTCTATTTTGCACTTAACTGTGAAGAACAAAGTTATAAACTTAGTTATAGTCACACTTTAGGAAAGGCAAGGTTTTGCATTGTTGGGCTATTTGACATATACGTCATGATAATGACAGAATTTAGATTTGGGGCAAGACGGACCACTGTGGTCCATCTTACCCTGTGGTGGTCCATTGTACTCTGCATATGGAAAGTTATTTTCCAAAACATTGACACAAGTTTAAGTAAGCTAATTTTCAGGAAGGAGTCTTTGTTGCATGTGAGCAATGCATGCAAGTGCTCAGTTAGCATGCATTCATGCCAAACGACAATCAACACACATGTTCCCAGCTTTTAGCTGCACTTCCATCACACATGAGTAAAGAATAAAGGCTCATTTTGTTATTTTACCATTCTGGTATCTTTTTCTTGCAAGAGTACAGAGCAGAAGTGTAACACACATGCGCGGATAGCAGGCACTGCTGGGTGGTCCGTCTTACCCCACGTTTTTTCTTGTCTGAGTTTTTGACATGTCCCTCTTTAAGAGCATCCACCACCTAGATGTCTTTAATTTGAAATTTAGTCTTTACAAATATCAACAGAGGAAGGATTGAGCATTCCGAAGAATATAAATAATATGAATTACGAGAGCAGTGTAGCAAGATATGCGGCCTCAAACCTTAGCTGGTCCGTCTTACCCCACCTTCCCCTACCAACAAAAACCTTATTTACTATACTTTTTGTGTACCCCCAATCTCAATGATCTGTATCCGCCTATGATTTTTGAAAATGCATATTTTTAGGATCCATGTGAATTCCTGGTTCATTCTCTATCGATCGGCAAAAGTTGCGTTAAGATTGGTTCAGAAACCTGGCCGTGATAAACAGTCTAAAATGTATCTGCAATTTGCCCGTTTTACCCCCCTCTACCCCCCCTATTGACATTTTTTAATTTTTATTTTTTAGAAATGTAGATCACGTTGAGCGAAATCGAATGCCGTTTGAATTTTGAAAATCGGCCCGTTAGATCTCGAGATATCAAGGGGGGGGGGTCGTAACAGCCCCCCTCCCTGCCACTAATAGGGGTAGCCAGGAGCCTGCCACTAATAGGGTTAAGTCATTCGGTGGCACTCCCCGCCGTTTGACCTACAGAGGTCAGCAAAGGTCACGTGGCCCAAATTTGCACAGCAGATTGTGGCCCACCCAGTAGAGGTAGAGCGCTAAAAATGGCACCAATCGACTCGCCAGCATCTAATCTTACTTTCCCAACACTCATTTGACCTCTCAAGGTCATGCGATGACCTAAGGTCATTTGGGGCTATGTCGAAAATACACTTGCACAGCAGTTTTCGAGTAGATGGATTGACCGAATTACAAATCAAAGCACATCATCGGGTAGCCCATAGGCCGTAGTATCTTTCCTTAAAAACTGCTTTTCGATATGTGACCCTGTTTGACCTCGGCAGGTCAAAATGTGCAAATAAACGACACTCAATACGTCGCAGCCCGGATTCAGCCCAGATTCGGGACACCTCCGATCAAGCTGAAACTCGCACACAATGTAGGCCATGACATGCCCAATCCACAGTCCAAGTCATTCGGTGGCACTCCCAGCCGTTTGACCTACAGAGGTCAGCAAAGGTCACGTGGCCCAAATTTGCACAGCAGATTGTGGCCCACCGTAGAGCTAGAGCGCTAAAAATGGCACCAATCGACTCGCCAGCATCTAATCTTACTTTCTCAACACTCATTTGACCTCTCAAGGTCATGCGATGACCTAAGGTCATTTGTGGGCTATGTCGAAAATACATTTGCACAGCAGTTTTCGAGTAGATGGATTGACCGAATTCCAAATCAAAGCACATCATCGGGTAGCCCGTAGGCCGTAGTAACTTTCCTTAAAACCGCTTTTCGATATGTGACCCCGTTTGACCTCGGCAGGTCAAAATGTGCAAATAAACGACACTCAATACGTCGCAGCCCGGATTCAGCCCAGATTCGGGACACCTCTGATCAAGCTGAAACTCGCACAAAATGTAGGCCATGACATGCGCAATCCACAGTCCAAGTCATTCGGTGGCACTCCCAGCCGTTTGACCTACAGAGGTCAGCAAAGGTCACGTGGCCCAAATTTGCACAGCAGATTGTGGCCCACCCAGTAGAGCTAGAGCGCTAAAAATGGCACCAATCGACTCGCCAGCATCTAATCTTACTTTCCCAACACTCATTTGACCTCTCAAGGTCATGCGATGACCTAAGGTCATTTGTGGGCTATGTCGAAAATACACTTGCACAGCTGTTTTCGAGTAGATGGATTGACCGAATTCCAAATCAAAGCAGATCATCGGGTAGCCCATAGGCCGTAGTAACTTTCCTTGAAAACCGCTTCTCGATATGTGACCCCGTTTGACCTCGGCAGGTCAAAATGAGCAAATAAACGACACTCAATACGTCGCAGCCCGGATTCAGCCCAGATTCGGGACACCTCCGATCAAGCTGAAACTCGACACAATGTAGGCCATGACATGCCCAATCCTCAGTTAAGTCATTCGGTGGCACTCCCAGCCGTTTGACCTACAG